GTAATTTGGAGCGCGTAACGGGGTGCTGGCTGCCGCGGGGGCAGGCGCCCTCGTGGGTGGACGTGTCACCAGCGCCGATGCACGCGGGTCCCGGCCACTAAGACGCGGGCTGAGACCACAGGGCGCTCTGCTTCCGGCGGCCAAGTACACCTGAGCCGCTTTTCCGAAGACCTGCGCTGCGTGTTCCCACCAGACAGGACGTGACGAGGAGGGTTTCCAGCTCCACCTCGGTTCTCTGACACCAACGACGAGAGCTGCCTCTGCTCCATGGAGCTGGAACGGCCGGGCGCTCCAGGACGCTCTTCCGGAACCCGCAACAGCCCGGCTCTGCCATCATCTCCAGCTCCAGGGAGAAGGGACGACCCGGCATTGCTGGGAACAGGGCCCGGCACCCGCCACGCGGCAGAGCGCATCCCACGTTTCCGGCCTGGCATCTGACACCCCCCGCGGGGCGTGCCCCCGGGCCCTCCCGACTGGGCATCGGCCCGTGTGGACATTTATTTGGTTCTGCTGATGGCGACCCCCAGGTCGCCGGAGCGGCAGAGAACCTAGACAAGGCAAGCCGGAGTGACCTGCCCGCAGCTCAGGAGCCGGACCGGAGGAGTCCTGTCACCAGTTCCACGGGCTCACCCAGGACAGAGGGCGCCGACCAGCAAGGCCCCTACTCAGAAGGACCACCTGCTGTAGCCCTGTCCGGCAAGGCTGTGGTGCTAGGATGGAAGCGTCCCCAGACGTACTGGCTGTCCCTTCCCCCCATACCTGTCACCCGTCTGCACCTGGGGCTCCCATCCACCCTCCTTTCTCCCTTTTCTTATCCACACCCCCACCCCGGACACGCCGGCTCACGCTCAGCCCCTGGTTGGGGCCAATGCCACAGTCCCTCCCGCTCACTCTGTCCGCGTGGTGGCCAGAAAACGCAGGGTCTGCAACGCGGGTCCCAGCTCCGCCGCTCAGGACACGCATCTCGAGCGGATCTGGTCAGAAGCGCAGTGACTCCTTCTGCTCTGCACTGAAGCAGACCCTGAAACAAGCGACCATCGGAGCTCCCCGTCTCGGCAGGCCCAGCTGCCCCGGGCCAGCACCGGTTAGCTAGGTTCTCCCGGAACCCCGGGACAACGGGCGGACGGCTGAGAACGTGTTCTCTCTGAGCCGTCCTGATGACCATCTGAGAAGCAGAAAGAACAGCCGCTGGACCTCCGCGGCCCTGCCCCAGCACGGCAGGCCTCCTCCCCCGCCCCAGCAGCACCGCGGCCACCCCCCGCACAGTCTCGGGGCGTGCGTGCAGGAGAGACGGGGCATCCTCCTTCCGTAAGATGGAAAGGATAGAGCCGCAATGCACGAGGCTGTTGGCCTGCGGGGTCGGGGGGCGACAATCAGAGCAAGCCAGGCAACCGGGGCTTCTGGAAGAAAATCCTGTTCTTCTTTCAATTGTCTTTCCATTCTCTGATGATACTGTTCAGTTCTGGAAACGCTCTCCTTAATTCTCCAAACTGCGTATCATACTGTGGCCCTTGTTCTAAGACCCCGTTCCTCTCTCCGTGCAGCAGGGTCTGACACTTTAGTGGGCTGGAAGCAAGGATTTGCGATCTCACAGGACTTCATCTAGAACTCGTGGTTTTGCCATCCGTCCAGCTGCACTGAGTATGTGAAGACGTACAGAGAGGCAGGCTCCCCAGAACGTGGGCTGGTGTGACAGCAGTGTGGAGAACACCAAGTGGTCCAAACCGAGGCAGTCACGTAAGTCTTTGCAGAAACTATACTCAAATGGTGGGAATGGGGGTCCTTGGCATTTTGCCCAAAGGCAGGAAGACACACCGTGATGGCCCCAGATAAGGGAGGCCACCCAAAGGTGCTCCTCACGATGGCTCGGGTTGTGAACCAGCCTGTCCAAGACACGCTCAGCAGCGGTCCCTCATTCTGGAACTGCCCACGAGCTCTCTGGGCAGAACCCACTTGGGTTTACTGTTAAGCACTCCTTCGTCTCCACTGTGACCTCGGAGTGCCGGACTCTGCTTTGTGTTTGGAAACGCTCATTTTATAAACCTGAACTGCATCCCCTCTCAACACTTCTCTCTTCCCTAACTGAAAGGTTTCCTTTTTTCGTGAGCTCCAAAAGTTGCCCCTTCTCTGCCAGGGCTACGTCACTGTCTCAGCAGAGGGCTGAGATCCAGCTCAGGAAAACATCCGATACTTGATTTTTATTCACAGGTTGCTCCTCTACCATATTTGGTCAGTAAGGAGGGCTGCCGGGACTCAGTTTTCTGTGGAAATAAAGGGAATGTGACAAAGCTTTTCAAACAAGCACATGGCTTTCATGGGGCGGGGGGAGGGGGGCTCTTTTAATTAATCTGATAATGTAAAGTTTCTACACGGCCAAAAGCAGCATTCAAATCCATTCCTGGTTGTCAAAAAAATCTCTGGGTAAAATTATGGCACAATGGGGACTTGCTGCGAAGGGTCACGAAGACAGAATTGTAATGTCAACGTTGCTTCCACCAGAAGCCACATTCATCTTGTGTGACCTACTGTGTGTGGCTCTGATCTCACACTCCACATATTTCCTCTAACAATTTTGGCCGGCCACCCCACCGAAGTTCTGTAAGAATGTTAAATTGCCTGTATGGGTAAGACGTAATTCCTCTTTTAGGAGTAGTAAAGGCACACTGCAGATCAAGAAATGGGATTCAAAATACTCATTTGCTTTTCCAAAGTCTTCAGCCAAACCCCAAGAACGGTAGTGTCTGTGGGGATTACGTGGACTGTAACACATGTCTCACTCTTCAAAGAACACCCATGAAGCTGTGGTTTACTGCCCACACTGGACCACTGAGGGCCTGCTGTGCTTGCCAAGTCTGTAGTCTTTGGAGGAAAGAGTCTGCTCCTCAGAGCCACAAAAGGTACCCATGTAGACCCACAATGTCCTTCAACACTTTATGCCACTGTCATGACCTAAATTTCCGTTTCTGGTCTCTCAAGGAGCTACAACATTCTGTTGATTCTACTGTCAACTTGTTGAACTAGGACATGAACACATGAACTTGTTACAGAAACATCGGATACATCAGGTTTCTCAAAAAAAAAAAAAAAAAAGATCACATATAGAAAATACATATAATGTCATTAGGAGGGAAACAATAATCTCAAAGTTTAATGAATCTGAGATGAAAAAAAGTGAATTCCAATGTATAGTGAAAATCACTCAATCTTTCCAACATTTTCAAAGTACTACTGAATTAGATTATTAATCATTTGACCAACGTCACCACAGATGAGGGAAAGGCTCAAGAGCTTTTTTAAATATTAAAAATATCTGTCTTCAAAAAAAAAGACTTAGTTCTAACCTAGTATTATCCAACGCACTCCAAAAACAGTCATAGTGCTATTGGCATATCATCAGTAAAATCCATAATTTTCAAAACTTTTAAAAGAGAAAAACCAAGAATTAATCTTCAAAAAAATGCCAACCAAAGGTTGCAGCTGGGTGGCCCGGGTTTTACGATGACTCGGAGAAGGAGCGGTGGTTTGTTTTCAGAGAGGAGCGTGTTCTGCTCCTCCCCACAGGTTAGTAGTAAGAAATGAAACGGGAACAAGGGTCAGTGTGCACTGTGTCACCTGCTCATCTTGGACGGATCCTTACGAGGTATATGCAGGGGTCAGCACGGGCTTCTCTACAGGACTCGAGAAACAACTCTCTTCACACTTTTACTGACTCAGTACCTCTGAGCAGAACACACTCTCATATGACACACAGATAAACCTATAATAAACCCTGTGCCAGAGAATGGGCTAGCCCCCTCAGAAGGAAAAAAGGACGCAGATTTTGCTCTGGAGGAATGCACGCATGTCGTTTTCTTCACTACCAATCGTAAAGAGCCCTCCGGAAGCTCCTGGGTTTCTACACCACGGGCCTTTCAGGTAAAAGCACCATCCACGAGCCAGTTTCCAGGGAGAAGAGAAAAACACTCCCAGTGATGCAGAGAAAGTTACAAGTTCTGTCACTGGAACAACCCTTTCTACTAAAAAGAATTACCCAAAACAAAAAATAATTAAAATATCAAAACGTTTAAGATGTCTAAAAAGTAGGAAAATGACAAAAACAAAGTCAGCAAAGCATCTTTAAATATTTACATAGCCGCTGTTTAGAAAGTCATCTGTTCCAGTGAGCCGTCTCTAAACCCACAGGGTTACCTGAACCCGAGGAGATTAATTAGAAGTGCACACCGATTGGAAGTTACTCCTTTACTCGGCTGTCTGGTGCAAAGGAGAAGAGCAGAGGCAGGGGGGTGTGTGTGTGCGCGTGTGTGCACCTGCGTGTGCCACCTGGGGAGGGAACAGGCTCTGGGACTGCGGAGAAAGAGAAGGGCACGCCTTGGACGTGTCCCATCACCCGTTCTTTGCTCAGAAATGACTGATGTCCCAGAGAAACCATGAATTCAACAGCCCAAAGTTGTTAATTAATGCAAACACATCCGGGCAAATTAGCGAGAAAGGAGCCTGAAGTGGAGCTGACAGGCACCTGTGCTGCACCCACCAGCCTGAGCTCGAAGTATGTACTGGCTGCCTGACGCCTGCGGCTGGGCCACCCGGCTGCAGGGTCTACCTGGGTCTGGGAAACCAGACCCCCAGGGTGCAGGGCTGAGCCTGGGCCTGGGTTATGTGGGCACTACCCAGACAAAAGGCCACCCCCCTGCCAGTCTGCTGGGCCTGGGCCGCCCAGGCTGAGGGCTACCGGGTCAGAGGGCCACCAGGGCCCCTCTGTAGGCACGGGTTCCCTGGGCACTGTTCAGGGATACTTTGGGAAGGGCTAAGGGCGCACAGAGCTACCTGGACCTGTGTTCCCTGGATGTGGGGCTCCCGGGGCTGGGATCCCCGGGCTCTGGGACAGATGGACATGGACCTCCTGGGCGAGGGGCTCCCGAGCCCGGGCTACCTGGGCACCGGTCACCCAGGTACGGAGCTCCCCGGGCCCTCACTCTCTGAGCCCAGGCGCACGCGCTCACCTGCCACAGGGTCCGCCGCCCCGTCCTCTCCGCTCTCGTCCGCAGCCTCGTCGGCCAGGCCCGAGCCCGGGGAGTCAGCGGCGGCCCCGCAAGCTGAGCCCGGGCTGCTGGGCTGCGAGGCCGAGTCGCCCTCGCTGAGCGAGCCGCAGCGCGCACGGGGCGCGCGCTCCCCGGGGCCGTGGCGGTCTCGGCGCGCGCGGCGGTGCACCCGCGAGTGCAGGACCATCTGGTGGTACGTGCGGAAGATCTTGCCGCACTCGAAGCACTCGGACGACTTGCCGTGGCCCGCGGGGGCGGCGGCGCGGCGACTGGGGCGGGCGGCCGGCCTGGGGTCCAGGGGCCCGGGCAGGGGGTCCCCGGGCACGCCCGCGCGCTTGCGCGGGGGCCCCTGTGCGCCCGGCTCCGGCTCGCGCTTGCGCTTCTCCTGGCTCACCAGGATGTACTCGCGCCGCTCCTTGTCGAAGGCCACGTCCCCGGCCAGCGCCTCGTCCCACGCCCCGTACTTGAGGTATTCGGCGGGCTCGGCCACCTTGCCCCGGGTGGCCAGCTGCCAGGCCTGGTAGCTGTTGACCGGGTCTAGCTCGGCCACGCGCCGCCCCGCCTGCCCGCGGGCAGGCGCCCCGGCCAGCGCAGGCCGCAGGTTGAGGCACCGAAGGAAGAGCTGCTGGGAGTCCGGGGCGCCGCCCTGCACCGCGCCCTCCCCGGCCAGGGCCCGCGAGCGGCCGGCTTCCACCCTGCGGTGGATGGCGTTGTGCGCGTTCAAGCTGTCCAGGTTTGTAAACAGGTTCCCGCACTTGGTGCAGACTTCGTAGAGGGACAGGCCAGCCACGATCATCTCCTCCTGCACCACGTTGTTGATGGTGGCGATGGGGTCCGGCTCGCTCCTGGGTTTGTTCTTGCTCCCGGTCTTGGGCCCGTGCGCCTTCATGTGGTTCTTGAGGAACCACGGCTCCTTGAATCTCCGGCCACAGATGTGGCAGCCGTGGTCAAAGGAGCCCCTGTGCTTCTTCATGTGCGCTTTCAGGAACCAGGTCTGGCTGAAGGCCTGGCCGCACACCTCGCAGGGGAACTCCCCGGCGGGCAGCTCAGGCTTGCCGTTCTCCACGCAGGCCTCGGCCCCGCTGGGCACCTGGGCGGTGATGTGGTCCTTCTCGATGTGGCTCAGCAGGGACTCCTCCCGCAGCGCCACGTAGCTGCACAGCCGGCACCGGAAGGGCTTGTGGGCCTGGTGCACATGCTGCTCCAGGTCCTTCTTGCGCTCAAACTTGCACTTGCAGAAGGAGCACTGGGCGGCCGCCTTGCCCTCGTCCGGGGCGCAGGCGGCCCCCTCAGCCTCCTTCTTGCTGCTGCGCAGCAGGATCTTGCTGTCGTCCACCGGGGCGGCCCCGTTGAGGATCTTGTTGCAGGCGGAGGTGCTCTTGGTGGGGCTGGTGCAGCCGTCCAGGCCCTCGGACACGCGTAGCTCCCCAGCCTCGGGCTCGCGGCCCTGGATCAGGGAGCCCGTGCGGTGGCTGCGGATGTGGATCTTGAGGTTGCCCTTCTGGGAAGCCCTGTGGTCACAGTAGGGACACTTGTAGGGCTTCTCCCCCGTGTGCTTGCGCATGTGCTGGGATAGGGAGCTCTGGAAGGGGAAGCTCTTGCCACAGATGCAGCAGCTATGGCTGAGGGCCTTGTCTCCATCCATCTCGGGGCTCCTGCTGGCACCAGTGGGGCTCGGGCCCCTTCTCAGCTCCACCTCGGCCTCACGGGTGCGATCCATCTCCGGGACTAGGGCTCCCCAGCCAGGGCAGGCACAGCGTTCTGTCACACAGGCCGGACCTTGTCTTATCTTTCCATTTTCAGATGAGGCTTCTGCTTCCCAGCTGCACAGACGCACCTGCCAGGACAACCTGCATGTCCTACCTGGAAGCCGTGGCAGGCAGCGGAGAGCACCTAGAACAGAAAAGACATGAGAGATCTTAGGAACAAGGTTGCCCGTGCCCATGGGGACCCGGCAACATCCACAGAGTGACGGGCCCGCTCCTGAAAAGGAGCCAGCCAGTCCCAGTCAAAGGAGACACCAACAAAAATCCAAGTGCGTGTACCAGCAGCTGCTTTCCTCTGAAAGAGCGATAATTAAACAATTATTGATAACCGTATGCTAAATCGTTAAAATAAATCACCTTATGTGATCATATGCTAGAGTCATTCTTCTCAGAAAGGTACCACATCTGTAGGGAGACCCTGAGGAGATGAGGTTGTGGCAGCGTGAGCAGCACAGACCACAGAGGGCGGGTGTGAATGAGGAGCACGGGGAAGGGACCAGGGAGAGGGAGGCAAGGGACACAGAGACACAGCCCGTGCCCAGGACATGTGAGCCCCAGAGGCAGTTGGCAAACGTACTGCCGTGTGTAGCTGTTGGGGAAACAAAGCTTCAGGAAAGAGGCAGATGCACCCCGAGCTCGTGCAAAGTCTGTGGCTGGAACCCACTGCTCAGGACCGGATGCCCAGCACGGGGGCCCCTGCTGACACCGCCTGCCGGCGCCCAGGGCCACCTAACCACCACCTCTTAGAAGAGCCCCGACCCTCCCGCCACCACCCATCCCCGTCCCATCCTTTTGCTCCTGCAACACCACCCCAGCCCAACCCCCAAAGGGCACCGAGGCTCCGGCTGGAGGGTCCCAGGGCAGAACAGCCTCTAGACCCCGGGTGTCATGCAGTGACCCCCAACCCTTCTGCACAGGTCACACACCCACGGTGCCTTTCCAGGGAGGCTGGTATGCCTCTCCCTGGTGACAGCAGGTGTCACAATGCACCGTCACTGTCACGTTCATGCCCATCCCACCTTCCAGAGAATGAGGGGCGGGCCCTGTCAGAGCCACTCCTCCAGGTGGCTGGCTGCTTCTGGCACCCTGTGCACAGGCAAATACAAACCAGACAAGGAGGTGCCCAGCGCCAAGCCTGGCACAGGCAATCACCCACACGTCAGGAAAGCCGACGACAATGCCTGGAAGCCGCCACAGAGGCCCAAAACGCCACACACCGAAAAGCAATTATCGGCCATAAAAACAGGAATTTCCATCGGCTTGTGATAAGCAGAATAAGCAAAACAGTGAGCCAATGAGAAAGCATGGGAGAGAGGGCATCTTCCAGAACAGCATTCTGATGGGTCAGAAAGGGAGGCAATGCGGCACCATAGCTCCCCTAGGACACGGTCTACTGAGCTTTCTTACCTCTGAGCGTTAGTAACTGAGACAGGATTGTGAGGGTCTTCCTGGGGTCGGGGGGGAGGGAGGGGAGGACTTCAGACTTGCACCGAGAGGCACCCAGATAGGCAGATTTTCTTTAAAAATAGCCCTGACATATATAAAGGAAACCATGTTTTTTTACAAACTCCAACCTCACACACATTAAGAACCTGTACTATAAAATTTATAAAACATGAAAAAGCTATAGGTTTCTGGGTTTGAAGCAGTGTACTAATACACATTTTCTGCTCCCAAATGAAAGGTTCCCTCCCAAAAGACCCTGGTGGCAACTCCTGGTCTGCCCTGGGTTGTGCAGCCCAACACGCCTTCGCCAGAGGAGACACAGAGAAGAGCGCGGACAACAGGACTGGGAAGTGAACAACGCAGGAGATCCTGCCCTCCAGGAGGGGTTCGGAGGCAGGGGTGCAGAAGCCATCTGTGACAGACGCCCTCTGGACAGACAACACACCTGCTTCCTCCAAACGCCTCCTCCCGCAGACCAATAGAAGAAATCTTGTTTCGTAGAAATCTTATTTAAAATTACAAATTTTGGGGGCGCCAGGGTGGCTCAGTGGGTTAAAGCCTCTGCCTTCGACTCAGGTCATGATCTCAGGGTCCTGGGATCGAGCCCCACATCGGGCTCTCTGCTCAGCGGGGAGCCTGCTTCCCTCCTCTCTCTCTGCCTGTCTCTCTGCCTACTTGTGATTTCTGTCAAATAAATAAATAAATTCTTTATAAAAAAAAAAATTACAAATTTTGGAACACCTTTTGATAAAGCCCCACGGTCGTGGGGTTACGGGGCACCAGAAGAAACCAATACGATAAGAGCAGCCGAGTCTGGAAACAGGCCGAAAGCAGAGCTGCGCAGGTAATCCTTCCTCTAGAGGCTAACAGGTGCACAGGGTATCTCCTGCCAAGACAGAGCCCCCCAAAACCAACGACTCCAGTAAAGTGCATAAATAAAAACTGCCTTTAAAATTGGACAAATGAGGTTAACAAGAATACCTCCTGATGACTGAAGCGAATTAAATCAACTTTCCAAGTTGTTTTGGTTGTGGCACAACCTCTGGAAGACTGTATGTGTTGCTGCTCACGGGTGACGCAGCAAGTGATCTGCGCGCATCCCCTCTACCCTGGGGTGTATGTCATCCCCTCAAGACGCTGAATGTGAAACACTGTACAGAAGTCGGAAGGAAACCTGGTATTCCTATTTCACTCAAGAATCTAATCTGGGTATAAAGATCTTAGAGTTCAAAGAATCATAAATAATTTTACGAAGAAAAAAGCCAATGGAAATTGGAGGCACCAGAGTAACCAGAGCGTCCGCTGGCCCTCCCGGCAGTCGGCGAAGCCCGCCGGAGTCAGCAGCTCTGCAGCCCGAGGGGATCAGACAGCCGCGGAGCCGCCACACAGACAAGGGCCCACGGAGCGCCGGTGCTCAACCAGGTAGGGGCGGCAGGCGGCAGCTCACAGTCACCTGCAAACGAAGGCAGCCCCTCCAGGGAAGACTCGTTCAGACCCCCCAGTGCCCACTCCACGGCCGCTGCATCCCTCATGCTCTGCTACCACGTGCTCAGCGCCCCCGGGCACCGAGGGCGGGGTGTGGCAGGTCAGGGGTCTGCGCCCCAGCACAAGCCTGAGGTGACACCCCATTAGGAGCCCTGGTCCCCCGTCAGCCAGCCAGGTGGCTCTCGGGGGGCAACCCTCCCAGCCCAGGCTCCTCTCCTCATCCCCCAGGAGCCCAGGGTCAGGGAAGCGGCCCCCAGACCCGTGCGGCCATCCGCACACCGCAAACCACTGCCCGGTCCAGGCCTCGCATGTGACACCAGCCGGCGCCCTCCCTGCGGCCCACGGACCCCAGCCAGCTGCCCGGAGAGGAGCAGGCGTGTGCACCGCCGTGGCCGCCAGTGCGGGCGGGAGGAAGGGGCTCGGGGGGTCCCAGGTGCCCAGAGTGTCCGGCCGCGAGGCTGTCGGTCCACGGGGAGGGGCCGCGCTCCCCTTTCTCTCCAGGGGCTGCTCCGGCCTCTGCACACTGAGCACGGACGCCCTCCGGGCAGGCTGAGCAGGCCGCGCTCCTCCTCACAGCCCAGACTCCTGGGGGCCCCGGTTCCCGCACTCTCCCGGCCCGGGCGTAGGCCTGGGCGCCTTCCCTCAAGAACCCAAAAACCAGACCACACAGGTCTCTGCCTCGGGCTCCCTCCGAAACCAGCCGAAAGCCTTCACCCAAGCCAGCAGGGCCCGGCCGTGCCCGGGCAGTTCTCAGGCGAGGACGTGAACAGCTCAGCAGAACAGGCTCCACTTTCTCTTTTGTTTCCCACTGCTCGGCCCAGCCCCATCCTTCAAAACTCAGCCCTGCTCCGGGTCCCGGGGACAGCCGCACAGCCATCACCAAGGAGAAAACACATCAACACAGAAACAGGGAAAATGCCCTAACAGTGGTAACTATTTAAGCCCTGAACGCGGCTATCGTAAGGAAATCCTAACGTCAACGAAACTGTCTCCACTTGAGAAAGTTCCACGAAGCGGCCCCTTCTGGGCACACACGGTCCACTAACGGGGTTTCCTGCGAACCTCTAAAGCCACGGTCGGAGAGCGAGTCCCAGCCACTGGCCCTCCTTCATCTGCGGCCCCATGAGAGATTTCTGTGATCTTCTTAGCTGCAGGCAAAAACTGCTATTTAAGACAGGGTCATTGCTTCTCTTCCAAAAAAGAACAAGAATGCAGTCATCGCAGCTCTCAACTTAAAAATGCACCCCACGCGGCCGCCCCAGTTGGAGGCTGGCAGAGCCGCCATCGGCCCCCCAGCACCCCTGGCTTGGCGATCACCTTGAAAAACCGCCACCCACCCATGTCCCTGAGCCTGGAGGGTCTCAGCCGGTCTCTCCATGCTCCTCTCGGTCCCCAGTGGGGAGCGGGTCACGCGCGGACACCACCGTGGGACAAGGCGACAGACTGTTCTGCTCCAGGCAGATGCACTTTTGTCCTGAGCTGCCTTTGACTCTCCCAGAAAGACAAGCACTTACCACATGGGATTCGCTATTCCAACTTTCCCTGCAATAACAGGGAAAGTCAACCTAAGGATAACTAGTGTTGTAAAATGTGTGACCAAACGTCAGGTCCTCGTGCTGACCAGAGCGCGTCGGGTCCCAGCAGCAGGAGTCCGAAGCGGGCAGCGCGTGGGGGGGCAGCAAACACACGTCTGTGTTTTCGCTGACCCAGCACAACACGCCACCCCCACGGACATCCGTACACCATGGCCCCATCTGAACGCAGTTTGCCCATTATGAACCCGTTTTGTTGTCACCGTATCACAAACTTTGTCCAATGCTGTAACTGGGAACTTGCCAGACAAAATTATAATTTAATTGTTTATGCATAAAAATGGCTTGCTGATGAGGGTTTTAAAATAGATTTCCAATGGAACGCTCACTGTGTGTGCATGTTTCTCTAGAGAGAATAGTTTGAAGCTACTCTTTAAAAATGCCTTCTACATTTTTTGAGATGTGATTTTGTAAAAGGTAATTTGTTCATATCGATAAAAAAGTGGTGGAAGTAAAATGTTTTTAAGAAAATAAAATCGTGGGGCGCCTGGGTGGCTCAGTGGGTTAAGCCTCTGCCTTCGGCTCAGGTCATGATCCCAGGGTCCTGGGTTCGAGCCCCGCATCGGGCTCTCTGCTCCGTGGAGAGCCTGCTTCCTCCTCTCTC